AGCTTCCCATTGGAATTGGGGGAGGAGTGACAGGACAAAAAGCAGGCAGAAATTAAGGGTTAATTTGTCCAAGTCTGATGTCCCTCCATGCTAGCCCCCTACAAAAGAGACTGGCCTTCTGCAGGGCTCTATGGAAAACAGCTGGTCCCTAGTACTAAGTCCATTAATTTGGTCAAAAGCAAAGTTTGGACCCAGATTCTAAATATTGGAAGAGGCAGAGAAAAAGGTTCTGGTATTTGCTCAACTATAAACACTGATGTGGTCAACACTGCTCTAGTTTACCAGCTCCCAATAAAGCTGCAAGGCCTGGACCCAGTTCCTTGATCTTGTCAGGGAAGGGTTTGGGGCTGCATCTGATCACTAATGCTGCCCTGGCAGGAAAGGACTGCAGTTAAGGTTCTGCTATATCATCGTGTTTTCATTGTCCTTGCCCCCGATCATACTGGGAAGGAGCCAGTGCTTCACGAATCCTGTCTTTTAAAAAGCGCTCTCTCCCCCCAGGTCTGATACCTGGCCCACTAGACCTCTGAATGGGCATATCTCCTATCGATCAGTATCTGAGGGCTTTCCCCAATGCTCCAGACATGGCATGAATGCTCTCTGCCTCTTTGCCCTGTTTGCATGAAAAAGTCCTTACAAATAGGTCACAATTCTGACCGAATATATAGGCACTGATTTGCACAAGTGTCTGTCAGTCCATGACTAGTCCATGTCTGCCACCCCAGCTACAGTCAAAATACCTGCCCTGAAGAATGAAACTGCCGGCCCTGGAGCCAATGGAGATCAGGCACACTGTACAAGAGGGCCCATCTTTAGCAGCACTGGGGGTTAGAACCTGTCTGCTGTGCTTGACTCTGGCCAGGGGGCTCTGGGTGAGGCTCTGGTCCTGTATGTACCACTGGGCTAAACACTGGCCCTGATTGTACTCAGGTGCCCAGACCCTCTGACTATGGCCTCTGCTCAAGTTCATTTGCTCTATGGTTCCCTGAGGGTGCTGGAGCCATGCCCTGGACTGCAGCCTGCTCGGTTGGGCCCTGACAATCCGCCTTTTGCCATCTGCCAGCTGGTATCCTGCTTTAACCTGAATGGGCACCCCTGGAATCAGGATGCTGCCACCTGCCCCTGAGCACAGCTGCCACCTAGCTGTTGCTGTGGGGCCTCCATTAGCCTGTCTAGACCAATCAGATCAGATATGCGGAAGCTACACCATTGTCACTTCAGTGGGAACCCTACAGCCAGGTAAGTCCCCATTCCCCTCTAGCCACATATTTTTGATAGCTCTACTTTACCTCCTTCATGAAAATTATAAAATTATAAAAGCTACACCAGTAATTTTCACCATTGCTAGGTACAGTACACAATCAAAGGCAATCTCTAGAATTTTCATCAACACCAACTCAGCCACTTTATCCATCAGGCAGTAAAGGCATGCTTCTCAGGGCCTATGAACTGATTAAGCCATAGAAAAATAATTCAGATCTGACAGAAAGTAGTTGCAAAACAAAACAACACAACCTGAAAATAATTACATAGTCAAAGTATTCGATTTACTATGGAATTATGCTATATGGTGGGACATCTAAATGTAAGCCAGCCAACGACCTGCTCTCAGGGCAGCCCCACCCTGATCACATTTCCCAAATGCATCCTCACTCTCAGCCACTAAAATGATGTGGGCAACCAGGTGCCTTGGTTACTGATCAAGATTACTAGGCACTCCAATATTTGTTGGATGAGTAAATGGATGAATGGATGAATGAATGAATGAATGAAGCAATTAATAAATCCTCCAATAGAAATACATTGAAAGATTTAAAAAAAAAACACAGAACAAAGAAACCAGGAGTTGTTATTTACTAGGTATTGACTTTCAATTTTGCAAGATGAAAAAGTTCTGAAGTCTGGTTATATGATAATGTGAATATACTTAACACCACTGAACTTAGAAACAGTTAAGATGGCCAATTTTGTTATATAGTTTTTTACCACAATAAAATTTTTTTGAGAAATCAAACCAAATATTAAAAATCAGAAATAAAATTTTTAGAAAAATTCAGAATATACTTATTAGTAGCTATCTGAATCTTACCAGACCACTTAAATTTTCATCAATGTAGCCCTGACTTAATCACCCCTTATTTTCTGATATTATTTCTTATTTCTTTTGTGACTTCTGTTTTGGGACCAGTAACTGACAGTTTGATTATTTGATTTGTCATCATAGGTGACAGAATTTGATGGCTTCAATGATAAAAACAAACCAAAAAGAAATTTTTATTTTATTCATTTGGGGGGTTCCCATAGTTGACAGAAAAGTGCAGCATTATATTTTAGCATATAATCTTCAGGAATTTTTAGACTTAGCTCATCATAAAAGTAAAGCAATTATTTGTTTGTGTAGAGCAGGGGCTACTAGCAACAGGCTGTGAAGCTAGCTGACTAATATCAGTTCCAACACTAACTAGCTTTCCCTCATCGTGTCAGTTTCCTCATCCTCAAAGTGAAGATACTTTTTAAAAGCTTAAAAAAAAGTATTTATCTCACCTGTGAAATGGGAATACTGGTAGTAATTTTTAAAAGCTTAAGCAAAAATTTCACCTTGAATCTTACTTTACTTAAGCAAGAACTTACCCCATTTTTACAAATTGAAAAACATGGTAAAATATTTTTGTCTTCAGATATATTTTCTACCCACTCTCTATCTACAATAATAAAAGACAAACATGCAAATTGACCATACCTTTGCTATGCCGTAAGCCACACCCACCAGCCAATCAGAGCGACTATATGCAAATTAACCCAACCAAGATGGCAGCCGGCAGCCACGGAGCTGGAACAAGCAGGAGGCTTGGTTGTCCCAATGATGGAGGAAGCCAAGCTTCCCGCTTGCTGCGGAGGGCTCTGAGCTCCACTCAAAGCAACCAAGTTTCAATTATAGAAAGTAAATAAACCCCAGATACCTGATTTCAGCCAGCCGTGGCCACGGAGCTGGAGTGAGCAGGAAGCCAAGCTTCCCTACCGTGGCCGGCTCTGAGCTCTGCTCAAAGCAACAAAGTTTCAATTACAGAAGGTAAATAAATCCCAGAATTAAAAAAAAAAAGAAAAGAAAAAAAGGAGAGGCTGGGAGCTTCCATCACCGGGGGGCTTGGCCAGCCTGAAAACGGCCCTCAGCCCCTCACCCAGACTGGCCAGGCACCCCAGTGGGGACCCTCCACCCTAAAGGGGGTGTGGCCAGCCTGCAAACAGCCATCAGCCCCTCACCCAGGCTGGCCAAACCTCCATGGGGTGAGGGTCCCCACTGGGGAGGGGGGCTTGATCAGCCTGCAAACAGCCATCAGACCCTCACCCAGGCTGGCCAGGCACCCCAGCGGGACCCCCACCCTGATCTGGGACACCCTTCAGGGCAAACCAGCTGGCCCCCACCCATTCACCAGGACTCTATCCTATATAATAAAAGGGTAATATGCAAACTGACCCTAACAGCAGAACGACTGGGAATGACTGGTCACTATGACACACACTGACCACCAGGGGGCAGACGCTCAATGCAGGAGCTGCCCCATGGTGGTCAATGCCTTCCCACAGGGGAGCTCTGCTCAGCCACAAGCCAGGCTGATGGCTGCCAGTACAGCGGTGGTGGTGGGAGCCTCTCCCGCCTTCAGCAGCGCTAAGGATGTCCGACTGCAGCTTAGGCCTGCTCCCTGCTGGCAAGTGGACATCCCCCGAGGCTCCCGGGCTGCCAGAGGGATGTCTGATTGCCAGCTTAGGCCCAATCCCCCGGGGAGCGGGCCTAAGCCAGCAGGTGGTTATCCCCTGAGGGGTCCCAGACTGCGAGAGGGCACAGGCCTGGCTGAGGGACCCCCCCCCCCCCCGAGTGCACAAATTTTTGTGCACCACTATCTATAGATATATAAAAGGCTAAGCAACCGTCTGACCATCTGACCAGCCGGTAGCTATGATGCGCACTGACCACCAGGGGGCAGAAGCTCAACACAGGAGCTGCCAAGCTGTGGTCACTTGGCAGCGGCAGTTCGGTTCTCGGGTGACACACCCTGGAACCAGAGAGGAGGGAGCCCGGTTCCTTGCAATTCCTCTTGCACTCCAGGACCCCTTGGGGGATGTCGGAGAGCCAGTTTTGGCCTGATCCCTGCAGGCCAGGCCAAGGGATCCCACCTGCTGGAGGGACCCCGCTTACTCCGCAGACGCCCTTTGAGCCGCGGCACTGGCCCAGGTGCAGCCGGCTGGGGAGGGACCATAGGAGGTTGGCTCCAGGGGGTGTCTGGCCCATCTGGCTCAGTCTTGCCCCGCCAGCCACCGCCTGGGACCACCTGCATTAATCCCTGCACCAGAGGGACTAATTAATTTCCTTTCAATGTGCACAAATCCATGCACCAGGACACTAGTCCTTACATAAATAATTATAACTTAAATTTCTACTTGCAGTCCTTATTAAACCACAAACCACCATACAACATATGTTTCTGACGATTTTTTGTTGTTTTAGACTTTGGCTTGTCTTAAGATAACATTGTTAGTTATGAAGTTATTTTTAAAAAAGAACATTTCCTTCAGAAATTCCTATAAAAATCATGATGGAGCCATATCTGAGTTTTTTAGATATTTTTTGTTTTTTGTATAGGGGCACTTGGAAAAATCCCCATTTTCACACATGAGAAATTAATTTAAAATGAACAAAGAAAGTGCTAATAAAGGAAAAACAATTCAAAATGTGCAGCATGTTTGTGAATGAAGGATGTATGGGGGTTGGGAGGAGCTTTCTCTTTGTGATGCTGCTGGGAACTTGAGGCTTAGCGCCGGGGCAGAGGTCAGACGCAAGCAACACTGAAGGTGAGTCCATAAGTCACACCTTTGCTTTTGAATCTCAGTAACTTATATTTTTATAAAGCCCAGGTCTTTTTGTCGACCCCCACGTGTCTTCTGATTGCCTGGACTCTGGATCCTCCAAGGCACCCAAGGCATCCAGGCCAATGGCCACTCACCCTCTTCCTCAAAGAGAAGTCCCATGTGTCCATGCGCCTCGGCTTCTTTCTTCCCACCGTCAATTTTGATCAGTTCAGCAATCTCAAAACATCGTTTGTAGAAGTGGTTCCTTACCCACTTGTCTTCAGAATTATTGAAGTAACAGGCCAGAGCATACAAGTTATCATAGACATCTTCAAAATATTCTTCAAAGAGAGAAAAACATCATAAACCGCATTAGAAGAATGACACATCCCTTCAAATGGCAAACCGATACAGTGACATTTATTTTCTATTTTTCCTTTAAAACATGATTAACTACATTTAAAACTTGAAATGCAAAACTTAATGTATATTAACTATGAAAGTAGTTGCATTAATTAAAGAATATGCATATGAGGAAAGCAACAAAAAATCTTCCCCCAAACTAAGCACATGTTAGAAATGAACATACCCTTTGGTTGAATCACTAGACTTTATATATAAGACAAAAGACAACAACATATAGTAGCAATGTGCTCAGTGCTTTCAGAATAAATGAGTATGTGGTTATCATAAAAACCTTTCTCACTAAAGATTAAAAAGTAAATACAGAGAAAGCAAGGTTTCTTAACTATGGCAAAAGATAATGTAAATAATGTAAATGAAAATGGCAAGGTTTTTTACTTAGAAGAAAAACAATCATGGGGATTATAAGAAAAAAAATCAAGAATGAGTGGATTAAAAACTGTGATACATCTACACACTGAAATACTATGCTGCTATAAAAAGAAGGAATTCTTACCATTTACAACAGCATAGATAGAACTGGAGAGCATTATGCTAAGCAAAATAAGCCAGTCAGAGAAAGATAAATATCACATGATCTCACTCATTTGTGGAATATAATGAACAACATAAACTGATGAACAAAAACAGATCCAGAGACAGAGAAGCATCAATCAGACCGTCAAACCACAGAGGGAAGGTAAGGGAGAGTGGGGGTAAGGGGGAGAGATCAACCAAAGGACCTGTATGCATGCATATAAGCCTAACCAATGGACACAGACAACAGGGGTTTGAGGGCATGAGTGGGGGGAGTGGGGGGCGGTGAAGGGATAAGGACATATATGTAATACCTTAATCAATAAAGAAAAGAAAAAAAAGAATGACTCAATAAGCTCCATCCACTTTCTAGCAATATTTCTAGCCATAAGTGACCAGCAATGCTAAGAAAGAGTGAATTTCTATGCTTTTGTTTTCTATGAGTCCTTTTTTCTGCTGAAAATGCATTAATACTAGTCATCCCTGTCACTCAAACAGTATTAGTTTATTAGTTGTTAGTGTGTTAAAGCTACCCTTTCCCCTGAAGTGGCATCTGACCTATTTGTACTAAAAAAAAAAGTATTAATCCTTTGTGAATCAGTCTTGTAAATCCCACTGTCATCAATCATAAACTTGAATCAAAACATTGTGTGTTTATAAATTGTCTCAATCCTGTAAACTCCAATCTATTGGTGAATATGAACAAATTCAGAATCCTTATGTCTTTTTGCCTTTGTGCAATAAATATGTGGTAGCCTCTGGATTACCTTTCCAAGGATTTAAAAAACACACAATCATTATTATTCACTGATATATTCCTGAAAAGATTACAATTGTGAAAAATATTTATACATTCCCCACAATCATTCCTGTAAGATTAAAGTTGAATTGCTTAGAAAAATTGAAACTAAGCTTACTAGAACTGTACATAAGTCACTCCAATGTTCCAAAAGAAATTTCTAAAACCAAAGTCATTCCTTTACATATATTGCTTCATAATTCCACGGGAAATTAGATTTACCTCAAAATAGGTTTTATACCTAAAAATAAAGTAAAACTAAAAAGTTTTCCCTGTTGGCCTCCAGAGAGCCATCCTGCAGCAGCACAGGTGAAAATCGGAGACTAACTTGAGGTATTTACTTCAAAACCATGCGTTCATCTCAGAGCTGGCTTCTCCCACACGTGATCTTCCCATTCTGAGTCTTCTACCTACTGTGAACAGAGCACTAAAATCTGTGGTGTAGTATTTTATATTCTTTGTCGTATTTAGTGATTAGAGAGTCATTTTTAAAGCCTGTAATTAAAATACTTCTTCTCTTCCATTTTTAAAAGTTATATAATGAACTTTTAAAAATATATGTAATGCTGAAATAACTTTTCTATTTTTCAGTAATTCGGCCTTATTTTTCAGTAATTAGGCCTTAATAGAAAAACATTTCTAACATTTCATAAATAAAGTTTTGTGGGTTTTTTTTTTAGAATGGGTGATATGAACTATCAAGATAAATGGAATTTTTTCAGAGTAATAAGTATAAAGGGATATATTCAAGTTTTTAATCTTTGTGTGATCCAAATATATGGCTTGTATTTTTCACATTATAAGCAGCCTTTACTCTCCTTGAATTATCTGCAGGTTTATTTATAAAATAAAAATCAACTTTATTTTTCATTTTTATTTAGATCAGTATTTATTAAGCTACCTAAAAAAGGAAATTCCATGATAAAATAAATTTGGGAAATTATCTTGCTAATTTCCCTCCTTCAGTAAATACATTGGCATGTTAAAGGCTCTGGTAAGTCCTGCAATAAACTAACCTGCCTGACATTAATGTTAATTCACATGATGTTTCTCAAACTTATTTCATCAGAAAATTATTTTTGTTTTGCTTCACATAAAACCTATCAACATCCTGTGGAACTCTGCTTGAGTAAAATATACTTTAAATATCCTAAGTAAATGTTACCAGAAAAAAAATTGCTGGTTAACCCTTGGCAATAATTTAAAGTGGGCGGTGAAGACTTGGCGGGGGAAGGGGGGTAGGAGAGGGCAATGGAGAAAAAAAGAGACATATGTAATACTTTCAACAATAAAGATTTATCTAAAAAATAAAGTCAAGTGTAAATAATGTTTGAATTATCTATTGATTCAGTTGCCCATTACCATTATTGTCATCTCTTCTCTAGCCCCATGGGGGCACGGGGCCATAACCATAATGTTACAGATGGTACAGAGAATACTCACAACAACGGGTAATATAAGAAACATTTTCAGGGACAAAGAAACACTTTAACAAATGGAAAATAATCCAAAAAGCAATGACTGGCTTACTTTAAAATACTTCTTTGCTAGAAAACAGAAAATGTTTTGTAAAATAATTTAAGTAAGTCTAGATTCCCGTTCTGGAAATCTCAAGAGACAGAAATGACCCCAAGATAAGTATTGTTAGTGCCACAGCTTTGATAACATGAACTTCATGGTAACTTTAGAGTGATGGTCTTTTCAATGAGAAGAAATGCGAATGCTCAGAGATATGCTACTTCAGAGTGAATGTCTCAGATCTCATAACCATATGCAATGGAATCTTGAGGTACTATTAACAGATTTCTATATATTACCTGAAGCGTGTGTGTGTGTGTGTGTGTGTGTGTGGATTAATCCAAGTTAATAAGAGTGAATGTGCATATTCCTTACCCATTTCCTGGGATAGTCTTAACTCAAGTAACAATTTTCTCCCAACAAAATTCATGTGTTAAATGTGAAAAAAAAGTATACAAAATTTTAAAAAGAACATATAAATGTTTTATATGTCCTGCAATGGAAGCATTTCCAATAATATTTATTGCAATAATTTTAATTTTCTCTATTTCAAACAGGCAAAAGCCACTGCATTTTGATGGAGATAACCCTATAGAAGAGTAATTTTGGGCAAGAGGTGATTTTGTTCCATTTAACAAATGCAACCTTGGTTACCATGGATATATAATAGACCACTCAGTAAAGAAATATTTATTTTCATTATTTATACCATGTATATAAGATATTGGTTATTATAAAATTTGGACTTTGCTAATTTTTGGAATTGGAGAAACATTTTTACTTATATGTATAGTTACTTTTCTTTAATAAAAGATTATAAATTAAAATGTTTTCTACCTTAAAATGGACTATTTAGCATTTTTAGTTTGCTTATCATTACAAAATGCTTTATGATAAGTTTCTCATATTAAGGACACTTTCTGAAGTGATGTATTTGACTCATGTTTATTCTAATTAAATGAAAGCCTCTATTTAAAGCCTTTAGTGAATATGATGATTCAACTTGAAAAAAATGACCACTGGACAAATTTAATCTTGATCAATTATATTTTCAGTGTAAATATCACTTCAGAATTTGTGGTTGATATCAGTATGTAGGTTTTTTAAAATAGCATTTTTTTATTTATAAAAGTTAATTTACAGAGAAATTGTATGTAAATAACATTTTAAAATTTGCCCAAGTATTCTATTTTAAAAGTCAATTCTACAGTTAAATTCTTCTCATAATACAAATAATCACCTCCTATTTGCCCTCCCTCTCTCTCTCTCTCTCTCTCTCTCTCTCTAGTTCACTTATGGTGGTGGTGGTAGGATTTTTGTGTAACTCATATTTGTAAGTCAGGTCACAACCTGATGATAAATACGTATTGACTCTACTATGGATGTTGAAAGACTTCTTGCTATCTTCTGATGCTGTTTCCATGGCCCCATCAATTTCCCCCATTGTAGCATTAAGTAACAAAATGTTGCTAATATTTTTTCATAGAAAGGCCTGAAGTAAAATGTAGACATTGTCATGGTAGGGCATGAGCTTCTCTCTTTAGGTCCTATGGTACTTACACACAAGAAGTTGAAGGAAAGAATAATTTAGAATACCAAATGTATGTCAAAATCTAGGATTTCCAGTCTTTGATGATATAAAATGACTAATTTCTAATATGCAACTAAGAAATACAAATGACAACAACATCAGTACTATAGTAGAGATTAAAATATTTTCTTCACTACTTGAAACATAGTGACTTTCTGGAAAATCTTAGGAAACACAAAAAAAGAATCTGTTAGAAACAATGTGATGAAGTACATAAAATTAACAATTTTATTCATAATTGTGATTTGCAGCTTTTAATTCTTCTCACTATCTAATCTAATAAAAGGGAAACATGCAAATTGACCGTACCTTTGCTATGCCCCAAGCCACTCCGACCAGCCAATAAGAGCGACTATATGCAAATTAACCCAACCAAGATGGCGGCTGGCAGCCACGGAGCTGGAGCAAGCAAGAGGCTTGGTTGCCCCGGCGATGGAGGAAGCCAAGCTTTCTGCCTGCCCTGGCCAGCTGTGGCCTCCGCTAAAGGCAACAAAGTTTCAATTATAGAAGATAAATAAATCCCAGAAACCTGCTTCCAGCCAGCCTCCACTGGGAGCTTGGGTGGCTGGGGGCTGTGGCCCGCCTGCAAACAGCCCTCAGCCTCTCACCCAGGCTGGCCAGGCACCCCAGCAGGGACCCCCACCCTGAAGGGGGTAATATGCAAATTGACCCTAACAGCAGAACAACTGGGAATGACTGGTCACTATGACACACACTGACCACCAGAGGACAGATGCTCAATGCAGAAGCTGCCTTCCCACAGGGGGAGCTCTGCTCAGCCACAAGCCAGGCTGATGGCTGCCAGCACAGCAGTGATGGCGGGAGCCTCTCCCGCCTCCTCAGCAGCGCTAAGGATGTCCAACTGCAGCTTAGGCCTGGTCCCCACTGGCAAGTGGACATCCCCTGAAGGCTCCTGGGCTGCCAGAGGGATGTCTGACTGCCAGGTTATTCCCCCGGGAAGCGGGCCTAAGCCAGCAGGTGGACATCCCCCGAGGGGTCTCAGACTGCGAGAGGGCACAGGCCGGGCTGAGGGACCCCCCAAGTGCACAGATTTTTGTGCACTGGGCCTCTAGTTTACTAGTAAAAATTCTGATTGAAATCTATAGCATTTATTGATGAAACCCTCAAGTTCCATTATACAAATACTAGAAAATCAGTATACTAATTTTCAAATTATAATGCTCTTTGAAAGTATTGCCTCAGTGAAAGTCAATATTCAGTTCATAGATAAAGAAGAACTCTGGAAAGTTTCATATTTAATGATACAGAAGATTTTAATACACTGGAAAGTTGTGGAGATGGTATTAGGTGCTATTCCTTGTCTCCTCTGGTTTGCAATGACAGTACCACAATACCCCTGTGTCTGGGGCAGCCCTGTGATTCAAGGTTCTGGCACTTATTCCATAAAGATGCTTATTTGACTAGGTTGAACTGTGCTAAGATGTCTTAATGTCTCAAATTCATACATGAAACAATTTATTTTTTAGTATATTTTTTATTGTTGACAGTATTACAATGTCTCCCATTTCCCCCTCCTTTGTTCCCCTCAATTTAGACCCAACCCATCTCCTCAGGGCTTCCCCACCCTATGGCCCATATCTATGGGCTATGCATATCTACATATATAAAAGCCTAAGTGACCATTGCAATGAACAACTGGTCGACCAGTTGCTATGATGCATATTGACCACTAGAGGGCAGACGCTGAATGCAGGAGCTACCCCCCGGTGGTCAGTGATCTCCCACAGCCAACCTCCCGCGGTCCCTCCCCACGGCCGGCTGGCCCCGACCGCCCTGGTAGGGATTTGTGAGATGGCCTCAATCAGCCCCGATCACCAGCCAGGCCGAAGAACCCTACTAGTACACAAATTTGTGCACCGGGCCTCTAGTAAGTATATAAGTTCTTTGGTTGATCTCTCCTCGTTCCCCCACCTCCGCATCAAGGTATATCAGTATACCAGAAACAATTTGTAATCCTCCCTGCACTTACTTTTCCTTTCAGCCACCTCAGCCCTGGTCAGGTAGTAGTAGAAGTGATCCAGCTTATCAGGCTGCTCCTCCAGGGGTTTCTGCAACCAGAAGACGGACCTGACCCTCGCAGCCTCCCTCAGGGCTTCCCACTTCTCCATCAGGGTGAAGAGCTCAGTGAAGGACTTATGATACCCATCTCGCAGCATGTCCACACAGATGTTCTTCTTGTATGTGTTCCGGTAACTGGGAGCGAGAATCAGAACACCCAAAATGTTATTTTCATTCTTGAAGTCTGTGCAGTGTTTTTATCCTATAATAATGAAAGGTTGAATCATGTTGCCTTTTTTTCCTCCGTGAAAGCACTGAAAACTAACCACTGAAGAACTTCAGTTTAATGAAAGATGCCAGGAGCTATCCAAACTCAGTAGTTTTAATAAAATTACATTATAAATATATCAATTCTAAAGCTGAGCTCCCTTTGATATGGACAAACAAGCTAGATAGTTGACTGATGTCCTAGTCTGTCTGAGCTGCTGTAACAAAATATTACTGAATAGCTTATCTACAAAAGAAATTTATCGCTCACAGTTCTGGAGGCTAGAAGTTCGAGATCAAGGCGTCAGTGTGGTTTGTGCTGGTGCCTTCTAGCTGTGTTGTGCCCTCACATAGTGGAAGGGGCTAGGGATCTCTCTGGAGCAGTGGTTCTCAACCTTCCTAATGCCACGACCCTTTAATACAGTCCCTCATGTTGTGATGACCCCCAACCATAAAATTATTTTTGTTGCTAATTCATAACTGTAATTTTGCTACTGTTATGAATCGTAATGTAAATATCTGATATGCAGGATGTATTTTCATTGTTACAAATTGAACATAATTAAAACATAGTGATTAATCACAAAAACAATATGTAATTATATATGTGTTTTCCGATGGTCTTAGGCGACCCCTGTGAAAGGGTCGTTCGAGTCCCAAAGGGGTCGCGACCCACAGGTTGAGAACCGCTGCTCTGGAGCCTCTTTTATCAGGTACTAATCCCATTCAGGAGGGATCTACCCATGACCTGAGCACTTCCCAAAGCCCCTATTTACTACCACTTTTAGGGATTAGGATTTCAACATATGAATTTGGGGCACCAAACATTCCAGATCATGGCAATTGATGACATCCAAAAATACTTGATATACTAGACTTTTACCAAAACAAAACAACCAATAACCTGAGCAAAACAAAAAAAAGTGAAATATTTTAATATCAAAGCATGCAGTCTAGAGTAAATGGTTTCACTGTATGTTATGGAGGCTCATTCATTCATTCATTCATTCATGCAGAATATGTTTGCTGAAATGTATTACTAAATATATTTTTGAATTACTTATGTTAAAATTACATTATCATTTGTTAGATCAATATTTCACTACTAACTTAATAATAAATCATATGCAAGGAGATAAAGTGACAAGTAAATATTCTATTTATTTATTCAAAAAATAGCTATTGAGTTTCCTGTTAAGCACCAAGCACTGTTCTAGACCAATTAGGTTCAATGCCCTGGGGCAAGTTTGCATTCTCATGGGAGAAAACAATCAACAAATAAGCAAACAAATAATAAATAATTTCAGATGCAAATTGCCATGCAGGAAATAGGGTGGCTATTATTCCACTAAACAAGAATTTAGAGACCAAATGATATAGCTTTATATTAACTATTTTGCACTCCTCTTATTTATTTATTATATATTTTATTGATTTTTTACAGAGAGAGAAAGGGAGAGGGACAGAGAGCTAGAAACATTGATGAGAGAGAAACATCGATCAGCTGCCCCCTGCACACCCCCTACTGGGGATGTGCCTGCAACCAAGGTACATGCCCTTGACTGGAATTGAACCTGGGACCCTTCAGTCTGCAGGCCGACGCTCTATCCATTGAGCCAAACCAGTTAGTACACTCCTCTTTTTAATAAATAGAAGAAAAATATTTAGAACAACTGATTTGATGTGATACTACTTGCAATAAAAATTTCAGTGTGGAGTGGAAATAGACTAGAATTAGTCAAAACATCCAAAGTTCGGATCAGAACACCCAGGTCTATGAAATCCCCCTCAACCTCATTTCTTGTCATCTGTGAAGTGTGCATATTAATATATGCCATACCTACATGGCAGGAGGAAATAACATTTGAGTTCCTGCCTTCTAGTCATGAGAGAGTGTGGAGAAGAAGCAACGGGATGCTGTGAAAGCCCATGTCCTCTCTCCTCCCCTCCCCACAATGCCATAGGAAGGGGATGAGTGCTAAAGGCTGTTGTGTGGACTGCCCACTGGGGACAGAAGGAGGACACAGCTACGACTCTGAGAATAAGAAGCACTGAGGAGGGATGGAGTGAGTCAGGTCAGTATATTTCCAGAGCTGATGGAAAAGGATGGATCGCGTGCATCAGAGATGGACATCTGTATAGAACCCCACAGGTTAGGGAAACATTCAACTACAAGAAAGAGAAAACTGGCCTCACATTGCCTTCAAAATGAGAGGTTTATATTTCTCACAGAACGGGATGCCTAAAGGTAGGCTGCTACTGGCCTTGGTGCAGTGGTTGGCAAGTTCAAGGCTCAGGCCTTGAACGTTATTTTAACCTTTCCTTCATGCTTGTCCCCTGCTGGTCACTGGAGGGCTTCTCCAGCTCCCAATGATCATTTCCACCTTCAAGGCCACAAAAAAGGAGAGGATGGGATGGCACCAGCTGTGTCTATCCCTATTATTGGGGAAAAGAGAAACAGTTCTGCAACTACTAACAGATGTCCACTTTGGTTCCACTGGTCAGAACCCTGTCCCACGGCCATCCTTGCTATAAGGAGACTAGAAAAACAAAGGTTCTGCCTGTTCTAGGGCACCTTGCTACCCTAAACAAAACTGCAGTTATGTTGGCAAAGAAGAAGGGAGAAATGGATACAGATAGGCAAAGTCAGTGTCTATCACAGGTCCTAGATCAAGATCTGGAAGTGAACGCTTACAAACCCCGGCGCTCAGGGATGCCAGATAAAGCTGGGCCGGCTGCCCAGTTTAATTTGAATGTCATACAATGGAACTGAGGGAAATGAGGGAGATAAACAGAACCAGGTAGATTCAACACATAGTTAGGAGAGAAAAATATTGATTACTTGATTCATGAGTGAATGTTGGGGGTGATGGAACAAGAGGAGCTAGGATGACATCAGGTTTTTGGAGGGGGTGATTGCTAATTTGCTGAAGAGGGGAACACAGAAGGATGAACAGTTTTGGGGAAAGATAATGAATTTGGATTCAGAAAACTTGAGATTGAGGAGCCTAAAAGGATACCCAAGGGGTAACCCCAAAGAGAGTTTTGGGTGGCATAGGAGGGCTGAGAGGACAAGGGGCTGGAAATCCAACCAGGCTGCAAACAAGCACTGGCGCTAAATGTAGGTCGATGCCTGAGCTGCCAGCATGTTTTCCTGTGGGTGAGGAGTGCATTCTGGAGCAGAAATAGTCTAAATGAAACAAAATTTAGCAGAATAGTCTAAATGAACCAAAATTAGACTATTCATTTTAAACAATAAAAATAAACACTAGATGAGGCCATCCCGGTTCTAATCTCACCTGGGACAGAGATGCAGAAAAGCACCCTCTGGTCCATTTCCCTGCCTTGGAAGGCGAGGCTGCCTGGGTTGGACTGGGTCCTCCCAGAATGCAAAGTACTTTGGAAACGGCAGGTCCCACGTTGTGTCCTCTCAGTTGGACCTGATTTCGAAGATTCCCTGGGCACAGGTGGGTCAGTGACTCCAAGTAAGCCACTGCCCCTTCTCCCAGGTTTGAAAGTTGAGGTAAGAAACACAAAAGTGCAGAAGGTTGTTGGAGCTCAAACCACCTGGCAGCAACATCCCAACGGGGGTCTCAAGTAGGTCTTGCTACCTAGACCCATTCAAGATTCAAGGGTGCCAGGTCTTGCTCTTTTCTTTGGAGCCAGTTCCCCCCTAAATTCAGCAAGTTACCCAATATCCTGCCCATAAAATAATTTCCACTTTATTTAGTCAGAATCCGTTTCTGCTGACTTTGACCAAAGAACACGGAACTGATTCAGAAGGGACTGGACTAAACTTGTTTCCAAGACATCTTTCAACCTCAAAATATCCACAACATGTAACTAAAAGCAATTTTTAAAATTTCAAGTACATTTTAAAAATAGACCACTCTTTGCAAAAGACATTTCAAAAAGAATAGTATTTCAGAATACATGTTACTATTCTAATATCTCTATTTTATATGTGTGTGTGTATACACACGTATATGTGTCATTCTTTAAGTCTTATTACTAATATTTGAGAGCAAAAAAGAGCAGTTATAGTGATTTGCTAAATAGGTTCTTATTTATACTTTACTAGAGGCCGGATGCACAAAATTCGTGCAAGAGTAGGCTTTCCTTCCCCTGCCTGCTGGCACCGGCTTCCCTCTGGCACCCGGGACCCGGGCTTCCCTCCAGCCCTGGCTTCTTCCGGAAGGACGTCTGGTTTAATTAGCATATTATGCTTTTATTATTATAGATACTTAATGTAAATAATTTCTTTTACCTGCAAAATTTTTCATTTATTACAACAAACTGGCTGGGTATCTGAAAATAAAAATATATGTTAATTTCCACCATTATATCATATTTGGACTTCTCAGGTTTTATATTTCATAACAGACAACCACAGCCAAGGTTCACTCACTTTATGGAAAGGAATTTTTAAAAAATACAAATATAAATAGAAATGGAATGCAAATTCATTATTTATTTCACTTGGACATGAAGTGATTAGTCTCTGGTTTCATTTACATATTAAAACAAATATTAGTTTAAATTAAAATATGTCCTTTCTAAATATCAGGAGAAGAAAAATTTCCTTGACCTGAAGTCACTGTACTGAAAATTGAGAATTCTGGAAAAACTTATGGGGAGATTTGATCGTGTGGAATTTGGGAAGAGTTGTCCTGACAGACAGCAGGCCATCCATGGAAGCAGAAGTTGCGACAGTTGCGGGTGTGCTGGACATCTATGGATCACTGGCCTAAGGAAGATCTTTGCCACTGCAGATACCTGAGGCTGCCCTAGGCTAAGGGGTGCCCTGGGGAAGAATGGATTTAAAGAATTAAGCAGCCATGCATTTAACATGGACTATATTACTACTAGTCAAAGACATTATTCAATAGAGATTATATGTAAATATTCTGAATTTACATCAAAATTTC